GGGGGGGGTTGTGCGGGGAGAAGGGTGCAACAATGAATGAATGGAATTCCAAAATCTCTGTAGATGTTCATTGAAATGAAAAATAAACAAACTAAATTAATAATTTAAAAAACCCTATGGAGCAAGATATTTTTAGAAAACCCAAAGGTGGAGGGAGGGTGGAAACAGAGGGGTGAGGATGGGTGGGTGAGGGGCAGTTAATCATAGGCTCATACAATTTGATGGGGGTGTGTGTGTGAAGGAAATGGGAAAGATCTGGTGTGAAAAACAATGTATTTGAACTTTGTAAATTAACCAGTATAAAATAAGAATTAAAACAAAAACCTGCCAACCCTATGAAGCAATCTCTTCTGACACACATGGGGTTACTTCGAATCGGAACAGACTCCATGGCAAACTGGTTTAGAGTGAACCCTCTTACATTTGGACCTCATTTTATTTGTTTCCTTAACCCTTGGATAACCTCTCAATCTATTTTTTGGGTTTCCTACACCAGAATATCCTATTTATCTAACCTCAGCCAGGAAGTCATGATCCCCAAGTTGAGCACCCCTCATCATACTTCAAATGGATACCCTTATATAAAAAGAGGAAGTTTTCTATTTCAGGCAGGTATCATCTCCACCCAAGTCTCGTCAGATTCCAAGAAGCTTAAATTTCACATGGTCTCTGTGTCTGTCTCTTCTGTAAAATGTGAATAGTACTTAGGTGCTCAATAAATAGCTATTAAGCTTTGCCACACACGTCCTACCCCATCTCCCATACTGAATAGCTCACCGTATATATTTAGGGTAGATTTCATATCCCAAGACTTTTTCTCTACTCTTAAGAATACCTTAGGGAATTCTGGTGGCCTAGGGGTAGGAAACTGTCCTACAATTCCAATGCCGCAAGGTTCGAATCCATCAGGTACTCTGCAGAAGGATGACCAACTTTCTTCCAAGTAACTAAATGCTTACAAAAATCTGCTGGAGGGCCAGCTATGGGTCAGTTCCGACTCAACGACACAAAACAACAAAATTACCTTGGATTTCTCTCTTACTCTCACAGTTTAATTCGGAGGCCCTTCATATTAAGTAGCCATCCATAGAGCCTCCAACTAAGGGGATTCCCGGTACCCTGCTGCTGCATCTACAGTGATTAACCCTTCCAACATATGCACAAGGAAAAAGTTCTCTCATGTTCGCGGACTTTCTCACACACGGGCACACACACACACACACACACACACAATTTGGGATATCCCACACCACAATTAAAATGGCAAGTCAAAACAGGAGGGTCTGGCCATTCCTCCCCTGTAGTCCACCCCCACACACACACCGTTTGGGATATCCCACACAATTAAAATAGCAAGTCACAACAGAAGGCAGGCCAAGGAACATTTTCCTGGGTCTTACAGAGGGAACTCCCACCCTGAGTGGTTAGCGTTATGGTGTAGGAGGTGCATTTCTTCATTACTACTCCATTCCTCACCAAGTATAGCATCCCCGCTGTGCTTCCAATAGGAAGGATACGCGGCCCAGCTCCCGGCCGAAGGGTAGCAACACCCTTGGCACGTTAAGTTTATTGGCCAGAGCGTCAAGAAAATACAGAGGCAGCAACAAGTAACGCAGCGTCAGGCAAAAACACAGTCTAAAGCCTCGACGCCTGGAAGGCCCAGGGACAGTCATGGCGACTACTGGATCTCAAGTTCCCGCCCAACTACAGGCCACGCCCCCACTTCATCAGCCAATCCACAAAGCCCAATGTCAGCCGGGCCATACCTCCCACTGCCTCAGAATTATGGGAGTTTAAGAAGTGCGTTAGATCAAAAATTTTAAAAACAAGAAAAAAAAAAATTAAAAAAAAAAGAAGTGCGTTAGAGGATCTCCCTCCAGTGTGTTTTCAGAGGCTGTAAATTACACAGGCGGAGATTGCTCAATTTTCTCCCTTGTTTTGGTGGACACTAATCACCAGAGGTGCTACATGTCATTACAAACTAGGCATTCAGTGTACCCATAGTAAATGGAGATAGAAGAACTCAGTTTCCAAAGCACGAAGAATGGCTGGCCTAAAAGCATGTGTGTGTACCGTTTGGACGTGCATGGCGAGTTAAAAATGTGTAAGGGTGTTCTCAGGGTCTTTTTATTTTTATCTTTGTGAACCCTCTTTCTCAAGAAGGACAGTCTCCAAATTCACAGATGTAAAGCAAGGAAGTAATAACAGGTCGGGACCCCACTAAACTACCTGCTTAAAAGATTAATTTCCTAATATCACATGACAGATGTTTGTAACAAGCAGAACGATCTAAAATTTACTGCTTCCCCAAGTTTAATGTCTTTTTTTTTTAAAAAATTACGTTTGACTTATAGCCAGAAATCACACACACCCTGGACAGTAATTTCCAGTCAACATGAGCAGTATTTGTTAAAATGGGAAATTTCCCAGTCTGATATAAATAACTACTTTTTAAGGGACTTGTGTCATTAGTCCCGGCAAAAATTAACCTTACTAGGAAGTCAGATTCATTTCCGATCTCAAAGCCAGGAAACGGGAAATGCCAGGCTCTGGCATCTTAAAGGAATCTTTGAAAATTAGTCTTTAACCCCTAGCTCACAGCAAATACTCTGAAAGCAAGTCTTGTTGCTTTCTCAAAATAGCCAGCAAAAATTAAAACTCTATCAGTGAAATTTCTTAAAACCACACAAAATGTGCTTAGCATCATTTAAGGACATAGAACCTAAGGGAGCTCTGGTGGTGTAATCCTAAGTGATTTGCACTGTTAACCTATATATATTCTCTGGTTGTCAGTATCCACCAGCAGCTGTCTTTTCCCTTGTGATTTACAACTTTGGAAACCCAGTAAGGGGTCAGCTATGAGTCGGTTCAGACATCATAGAAATAAGAAATGGATAGAACCTAAGAGATGAATAGTTTATAAGAATGTTATGGGCCATCGAGCTGGAACTGATTCATAGCTGACCATCCAGCAGGTTTTCAGTCTATAATCACAGAGGTGGAGATTACCCATCTTTGTTCCACTGAAAAATTGGTGGATTTGAACCTGAACCACTTGTCTTTAGGCTGGCAGCTCAACTCCTTACCTGTTCTGCTGCTACAATAGAAAAGTAAATTTATAGTTCAAATTAGAGATTTGTTTAAAAGACAAAGACTTGGGGCACGTAATTATCACTTCAAATCTTCACAATTATTTTGATGATTGACAACCTCTACTTCACAGTTGATGAAACTAAACGAGACTGTTGATTAGGAATTTCAGAGGCTTGTTTTGGTCTATTTTCAAAGTATGTGCATTGTATTAAAAATGTTGCTACCACTCACAAAAACCTAATTTTTAATCCAAATCTCATGGCTCCTGTGGAGAAAGCACAGTTGGTTTAGTTAAAAAAAAAAAAAA